TGGAGATCCTAGTCAGGGGCTACCTGTGGCTGCCGGGTCACAGCCCAAGCGTCCCAGCACCCGCCAGCGGCTCAGCTTCTGAGCTGGGTGCAGGGGGCTTCAGCCTCCCCTGCACCCCACACCCCGAACCCCCCACCCCTCAGGCCGAGCCTTAGGACAGCCCACCTTCCCTTGACCTCTGCTGCGCGCCAGAGCCACCAGAACGAGGGGCAGGGACAGCACAGCCTCTGGCCCCTCCCCAGAGGTGTCTCGACTCCTGGGGTCCTGCCCTAGCTCCTGGGAGGATGGAGCACACTCAGCATGCAGGGTACACACACGTGTGCCCCCCGAAGGGTCAGGAGCTGCAAGGGTGGCGCCGTGTAAAGCTCACCGCTTGAGGGCCCTCACAGGCCCATGGCTCTGGTGACCACCAGAGCAGGGAGGAGGCCTCCTGGCTGTGTCCATGGCTCAGGGTCCGTGGGGTGGCAGGGCCTCTGGTGGCCACGTGTCCGTGGCCATCTGTTCTTCCCTGGGCTGCAGCTGCTGGCACCGACATCCCCGCCCTGCTGACCCAGCTGGTTCCTTCTCCTTTCCTGCTGCCACCATTGTTCTGGGGAGAAGTTGCCTGTCTCCCTCCGGGAGGGACAGTGTATTTCTGGGTCCTCTGCACCCCTGCAGGGCCTCCTGCTAGTGGGCACTGCCCCTGAGCTCCGACTCCTGCGTCTCCCTCTTCCCCACACTCTGCCACTTTGCCCACAGCCCGGAGGGGCCATGCTGAGCACTTTCTGGGTGACAAGTGACCCATGGTCCGGGTGATCTGACGCTCAGCCCTGACTGGGACCACACTCCCTGTCTGCCTGGGGCTCCCAGGAGTGGCTCTTCAGCTTCCTGGGAGCAGATGATGGCCCATAGTGCTGGGTGAGGAGGAATGGGTGGGGCCAGGAAGCCAGCTGCAGTCACTGGATTTTAAAAATAAACTTTTTTTGTTGTTTTTTGAGACAGATCTCGCTATGTAGCCCAGGCTGGCCTCAAATTCACAGTGATCCTCCTGCTTCAGCCTCCTGAATGCTGGAATGACAGGTGTGTGCTGCCAACCCTGGAATGCTTTAAATTAAATTAAACTTAAATTAAACTTTAAATTAAATTTTGGAATAATCTTACATTTATGGAAAAGTCGCAATGATAGCTCATATAGACTTTACCCGGCCTACCTTCCCGTTAGCATCTGACAAAACTAATGTAGTTCTGTTGGACCCAGAACTTTAACTAATTAAACTTCCACCTGTATTTGGCTTCGCTCAGATTTCCCATTCAAATCCTCTTTCTCTGCCAGGTGCTAACCCTGGAGTACACGCAGGCTTGTAAACTCGTGTTCTGTGCAACAGCGGTGCCTATCTAACCCTAACCCTCCAGAGGCCAAGACACAGAGATCTGAGTCCCAGCCCAGCCTGGGTAATTGAATGACTTAGTGAGACCCTGTCTCATATGAATCATCAGGAAAGGGTCACAGACATAGCTCTGCCCCAAGGGCCTGGGCTCAGTCTCTAGAACCAAAAAGGAAAAACAAAAAGAACAGGGTAGAAGCCTTTAGCAGACAGCTGTCCTCATGTGGCCCAGGGCATTCTGGGCCTGCTAGGCTGCCTGTCTAAGAAAGACCTCGGCTTGTGGCTGTGCACGTCGTGGGGGCAGGTCCAGTTTCCCGATTATCCTGTCTGTGCACGAGATCCTGGGTCCTGGCCCTGGCCCTGGAGGGAAGTGTACCCACCCCCCTCTTTCATCTCAAGTTCTGAACCCTCAGTCACAGGTCTGTAACCTGCAGCGTGAGGGTCAGAGGGTCACAGCTCCCATGGCTTTTTAGCTAGAGACAGAAGGAGGAGCCTCACCAGGTGTGGTGGCTCATCCTTGTCCTCCCAGTGCTTGGGAGGGTGAGGCAGAAGGATCTTGGCATGCTGGAGATCAGCCTGGGCTCCACAGTGAGACCTTGTTTGGCTTTGCCGTGGTCCTTCTTGAATCTAGAACAGTAGCTCCTGGCCTTGAACTCACTATGTAGCCCTGACTGACCTGGAACTCCTGGCGATCCTCCTGCCTCAGCCTCCTGGGTGCTGGGTTCCAGGCGTGTGCCACCTCACCTGGTGCTTCTGCTGCTTTTTTAGGTGCTTGGACAGCCTGGGTGCTGTGCTCAGTCTCCATCCCCAGCTTGCCTTCTCTTTTCTCAGTCTCCCCGAGGCAGGCTCCTGGCAGAGCCCTTATCCCCCGATGGCTACCACGACTGCTACCACGTAGAGCAGCAGGCTATGGGGTATGGGACTTGGGTGCCCCAGCCCACGTGAGAAGCCCTCCGAATTCCCCTTGCTGGGGGAGGAAATTAAAACTAAACCAAATTAATTTCACCGCGCACTGAACGTGGCTTAAGCAAACACAGATAAGTGCATGGTGCCAGTTCACAGCGAGGCCGGGGTGGGGGGCAGAGGCGCTCAATAGTCTCCGTGCAGCGGGCTCTTGGGCGGCAGGGACCCCCGCGGGTGTGCAGGCCTGCACGTTGCTTCCACGGATTCCAGGCGGATGAGGCTTCCTGGCTGCGCACCCGGGTCACGCGGGTCAGGCGGGGGTGGGGGGAGTAGGAGCCGCGAGGGGGGGGCCGCATTCCTGGAGGCTGCATCACCAGCTCAGCTGCGTCTCCGCACCCGATGCAGCCATAACACATGAGCTCAGCGCTGCTCCCGCGTGTGGTCCCCGCGCCCCACCCCGTACCACTGCCTCCGCCCTCTGCCCCTCTCTGAGCCTCTGTAGGGCCCCGCCGTCCCCAGGCTCTGAGCTCTAAGCTCCGCACCCTTGGGGGACACCACTCCTGGTTCTTACCCCAGCTGCTACCTGCGAGAAGCCCGCCCAGATCGCCCCAGATGGGGGCAACATCGCTGTTTTCTGTGCTCCCTGGCTCACTGTTCTCAGCTCGGGGTATCTGATGCACCCAAAGGGTTGCTCTGGGAGTTGGATCCAGGGTGCCGTCTCCAGAGACAGGGTCTCCCAGCATCACCCAGGCTGGCTTCGCACCTGCAGCTCTTCTGCCTCAGCCTCCCAGGACGTGGGTTCACCACACCCAGTCCACTCCTCAGGTCTCGGTGGGGGTGACCAGGCTGTGTTTCTCAGAAGAGGAGACAGTGTTGCCACAGTGGTCCTCATGACACCCTGCGGACTTGTCCCTGCTAGGCAGTCACAGTGCCCTCATGGTCCCCTCCCCATGTCCAGGGCCTAGCAGGGGCACCAGGCTGCTCACTGAACAGGACCAGGCAGTGATGGGTTCTGGGGACCCTGCCCACCATGTCTTTCACTTTGCTCCAGCCCTGCAGCTGGGAGGGCGTTATGGTCACCCTGAGTCGCCCCTCAAGTCCTGGCCACTGACACCTTGGAGAGTGCAGGCACCCCACAGCCGATGTCCCTGGCGGGGATGGTCACAGCCCGATGGGTTGCCGAGGGCGCCACGGGCCCTGTCCCTTTGTCCCCTTGGGAAGCCTGCTGCCTGCCTCGCTGCGCTCACAGGTGGGAGCTCAGCCTGGGCGAGGTGCTGGGTCCTGGGCGCTGGCTTCCTTCTCTGTGGAAGGGGCACAGCAGCGCCCTTGCAGCACCACAGTGGGGAGCAGAGGGCACACAGGCCTGGCCTGGCGGGAGCGGCCTCCGCCTCACCAGGGCTCCAGGAAAGGAATTCAAAGCCAGGTGTGGTGGTGGACAGCCACCTGCCACTTAGGAGGCTGAGGCAGGAGGATCGCAGTGAGTTCCAGGTCAACCTGAGCTACACAGTGAGACCCTGTCTCAAAACACCGAAGAAACAACAGAAAAGGACACACTCTGCCCTGTGAGCTCCAGGTGCGGCCTGCTTCCCTCACCCCCTTCTGCCCTTGGGACGGGTCCCAGATGGGGTGGGGCAGCTGGTTTATGGGCACTGAGCCCAGGCAAGACCCTGACTTCAGACAGTGGAGGTTTGTGCAAGAACCAAACCCAGAAGCACCTGAGCAGCAGGCTGGGACCTAAACCCGACCCTCATGGACCGGGCAGTGTGAAGCCGTGTGTGACCCTGGCCTCTCAGCCAGCATTGCCCCTCAGCCCATCACAGTCATTGTTCTGGCCAGAGTGGATCTGGGAGGAGGCATTTGCTAAGATTCTGGAAAAATAAGAATGGATCAAAAATGCACAGAGCTGAAATTCCCTCCTGGGAAGGTGAGGCACCCTGGACTCGGCCTACAGGGGCTTGGCCCCTGGCCGGGGTCACCACGGCAGGTGTCCTGCCCACCAGGCCAGGGTCTTGGGCTCTGGGTGGGATGCAGAGAGATGGGTACCCCGAGATCTTGAGGTAAAGGTGTACTTTTCACCTTTCCCAGAGGGTGATGGGAGCTGGGAGTCCTGTGGCCCTCAGTTTCCCTGTCTGCAAAGTGCAGAGGGCAGCCAACAGAGAGCTCCTCAGGGACACCCCCCCCCCCAGGCTGCTCCAGGGACCTGCAACGGCCAGGCCTCCCCTCTTCCTGCGCTGAGGATGCTGGGCTGGGACAGCACCAGACCCATAGCCTCACTCCTCCCCCTTCCCTGGGCACCTGGGACCTTGCCCCCCCCACTGCACTTGCTCCTGTATCCCTCCTTCTGTTTCCAAGTTAAGGCCGCTGGGGTCTAAGGAAAGCTGTCAGCACCTCCCTGGGAAAACATGGGGAACTCGCCCACAGATGACAGATCCTAACCTGAGGTGCAGGCACCGGATGTGCGGGAATAGCTGTGTGTAGAGGGGCCAAGTGGGAGTCATCAGTCTCCTGTGCACCTCGTACACACAGCCAGGAGGGATTTTCTGTTTGGTTTCTTTGGGTTCTGGGGTCCACTCAGGGCCTCACCCACTCCTTACCCTACACTGAGCTCCTCCCTGGCCCCTTTGAGGCAGATTGAACTTGAGATCCTCCTGCCTCAGCCTCCACAGTGACCCAGGTTTGAGGTGTGTGCTGCTGTGCCTGGCTTAAGGCACCTTTGTGTTCTAAATAATTTGGCCATGGAACACAGCGTCCTGGTGTGGAATTTCCCCCTTGTTGTGGCTCCAACAGTTTTGGGTGGGGAGCACTTGGCTTTTGGGCTTGGGCCCACGTAACTGGGTGGGCGGCTGATTTTTTTTTTTTTTTTTAGCGGGGGAGAGAAATCTGTCTTTTGGGAAAATGGCTCGAGGGTTGCAGGCTGCAGGGAGCCGAGCCGAAGGACCTTGGCCCGCCTGTGGCCCCACCTGTGGCCCTGGCCTGTGCAGCCGCTGCAGGCTGCTTCTCCTGAGGTCTGGAGAGAGGAAGAGCTCCTGAGGTCTGGAGAGAGGAAGAGCCCCTCCTTGCTGAGCGCTGGACCTGTCCCTTGAGGTGACATCATTGCTGGCTCTCTGCCACCCCTGCAGCTTCTGGAGTGTGGGGGCTGTGCTGCCGGCCCAGCCTCCACCGGCCAATTTATTGCCGCCTGCTTTTCTTGGATCTGACAGCGCAGAGTTGGAGAAAGGGTTTGAATTGGTCCCAAGGAAATAATTCAGAAGAGGACAACATCCCAGGCCAGGAGGGTCTGGTGTGCGGCAGTCTCGCCGGTCAGTGGGGACCTGGATCTTAGAACTGGGGTGGCTGCATCTCTCCCTGACCCCCGCCAGCACCTGTGACAAGGGCTGTTGGCTCAAATGTGTGGTGGAAGAGAAACTTCATCCTCACGGACTCTCCCTCCTTGCTCTTCAGAGCCGCTCCACCACTAAATTGCATAGAATGGGCTCAAACTTGCAATCCTCCTGCCTCAGCCTTCTGAGAGCCAGGCTGACAGGTGGCACCACAGTGCTGGCTCATTCTGAGCTTCCCACGGGGCTGACGCCGGGTGTCAGGGACCGTGCTCACCACCCCAAAGCCCACAGGAAAGCGCCTCCCTTGTGCAGACTGTGGCTTCCTCCCAGGGAACAAGCCCAGGAAGAGAGCAGAAGGTGGCAACAGGAAGGCACCCTCAGGGTTCAAGACGCCCTGCACCCTCCAGACTTGGCGTCTCTCTGGCATCTGCGTTTGGTGACCAAGGCTGGGTCCACGGTGTAGCAGCAGCTACTCGGGAGTCAGTAAAAATCCTTGGTGTCTCTGAGGGGAAGCCAGGCCACCCACGAGGCCCTGACAGAGCCCAGGCTGGGCACAGCACTAGGAATTCCCAGCCTGCACCCTGGCAGCGTGAGGGTTCTGCACTCTGACAGAGTGCAAAGGTGGCACAGAGGGGGAGCTGCTGGGGAAGAGAGTCTGCTCCCCACCAGCACCCAGGGGCTCCTGACACCACCAATTCCACATGGGCGTCGTGCACGGACCCCAGATGACACAGTCCCAGGGGAAGGGAACCAGAGCCTTGCTTCTCTCCCCTAGGGGAGGTGTTTGCAGGAGGAGCGGGTGGTACTCTGCATCATGAGCCCCCGAGCATGTCTGAAACACCCTCAAGAACACCCCAGCTAGGGGCTGGGGATTTGGCTCAGTGGCATAAACACCTGCCTCGCAAGCAAGGTCGTGAGTTCGATCTCCGGTACTAATAAAAATGAAAAAGACAAAAAAAAAAAAGAACACCCCAGCTAAGCACGGTGGCACATGCCTATAATCCCACCACTTGGAAGGCTGAGGCAGGAGGATCGCCATGGATTCAAGGCCAGCCTGAACTGCATAGCAAGACTGTCTCAAACAAACAATGAAAGAAACAAAAACCCAGACCATGTCAGATCCATGCCGCTTTCCACAGCTGCTAGGCCACTTCCGTCACCCACAGGGCTGCCGACTTTTATCTGTCTGCTTGCCTTCAGGGCCAGAAGTTCAATTTAGAATTCTCGTCTCTTCAATTGTTCATTTGTGGTCTACTTTCCGTGCTGGAAGAAAGGGAAAGCCTATGTCTCTCTGGCTATTTTTTGTAGCCCAGAACAAAACAAACTACTCGGTAGGTAGTTATGGATGATGGGTGGGTGGATGGGTGGGTGGATGCCTGAGTGGATGAATGGGGAACAAATTAGTGATATTTCTTGGTTTCTCAGCTCCAATGAGCCCGGCCTATATCTGGGGACCGTGTCAGGGCTGATCAGATGGCCTAATTCAGGGTCTGTCAGAGCCCTCCAGGTCTGGGGACCTGTCCTGAGAGGACCCTACCCTGGGGCCCAGGGGAAGTGATTTGTGATCCCTCTGCCATCCCTGGGCCCCATATGAAGCCTGGCGAAGTCTCAGCCCTCTCACCAAGACCTGACAGCCCTGCCAGCTTCCGAGTTCCCCAGATAAGAAGCCGTACTCTGACACCGCCTGGGTGGTGACATCCAGGCTGGACGCTGACTGAGCGGGAGACATGACCTCACTGCCCCTCATCTGGCCGACTGGGCTGTGGGCTCAGCCTGGCTGTCCCAGAGCAGGACCCACGCCTAGGCTCCGATCCAGAGCCCCGGGAAGGCTGAGGGCTTGGCGGGTTCAGGAAGCCCGGGCAGGGCGCCCCCTGACTCTGGGCTTCTGCTGGTGCCCCCAGTGCCCGGAGGTTTCTGCATGAGGGAGAGAATGGGGGCAAATCCGGTCTCCCCAGAGCTCCTGAGGTGGCAATGAAGCGGTGACTCGCTGTGGTCTCCCCAGGACTCCAGGGATGCTTTGGTTTATGTTTCCAAAGATGATTTAAACCTGGCTTTGTAGGACTAGGGATCCTGGGGCCCAGGTGTCTGGGGACCAAGGATGCTTGGTGGTTTGCTTCTGATGGCTCTGCATGGTGGAGAAGCCTCAGGGCGCTGGAGCCAGTGGAGGCGGAGGAGGGGCCCTGGCCTCTGGGTCCATCCTGCTGTCACTCGCTTTGTCAGATGGTGATGGAGCTGGGTTGGAGGAAGCTGAGTCAGATCTGTTTCCTGAGAGCAGAGCCTCCATCCTTTCCCGCCCTGTGTGTGCTGCTGACAGCTACGCAGCCACTAAATCAATCTCGCTCCTCAGGGATGCTGGACACTGACCCCGTGGCCCTTGGGACAGCGGTCTCTCCACAGATGTACCTGGCAGGGAGTCAGCAGGAGCCTGGGGCTCTGCCCGCAGTGTCCTGGAGGAGCCTGGAGGTCACTCAGCCGCCTGCTCATTGAGGATGTATAGCTTGGGGCAGACGAGTCCCTCGGGAAGGGTGGGCAGCTCTGAGCCATCCCCGAGGAGGAGGCTTCCTGTTGCCAGGTGCTGGGGTGGTGGGGGCTGTGGAGCTTGGGATTCGAGGTTGGCCTGGGGCACCCCCAGCAGAACCGGGCTCCTGACAGAGCCATGCAGCTTTCCTGGGGCCAAGGTGCAGGATGCAGCCCCTTCATCCCTGTGTCCCCTCCGTGCATCCCCGGCTTCAGAGGACACAAAGCCCCTTTATTGGGCAGCAGGAGGAAGCCAGGAAGTCGGCCACGCTCCTGACAACGGCCGTCTGGTGTGGGTGAAATATGGTGGGGCCAGGGGACGCTGCTCCCGCCTGCCCCAGAAAGCTCGAGGCTGCCTGACGGTGCACACCTGTGTGCATGTGTGGGGCAGAGCCATGTGGGTGCAAGGCACGAGTGTGGCCATGTCACGTGGGTTTAGCGCTGCCCAGGCAGGGACTGGGGCTCCGTATGTACGGGTAGCTGGGGGGCTGAGACCTGCATCCTGCCCTCCGACCTGATGCCTGAGACACGGCTGCCAGGAGGAAAAGCTGGGCCCCTGCCAGGCCCCGGGCCATCTGTCTTCCAGGAGGAGCAGGAGGGGTCCCCGCCCCTGCCTCCATGGCTCCACATCTGGACTGCAGCTGCTCAGCCCTTGCAGACCTGCTCTCTCCAAAGTGCGGGGAGGCAGAGCCTCGGGGAGCACACCAAATCCTGGGGTCCTCCGCAGGCTGGAGCAGACTGTTTCCCTATCTGCACCGGGGCTGAGAACCTGGGCAGCCGGGCTCAGTGCCCAGAAGGTGTGCGAATGTTCAGGAAAGGCCTGCCAGAGGCTAGGGACACGGGGATACCAGCAGCACCAGTGGCTGGGAGATCACACTGCTGGCTGTTTTGTCCTTTGAAAAGGATCTTGGTGTACAGCCCAGGCTGACCTCCAACTCAGACGAAACTTGGGCTCGCCCCAAGCCTGTGGTAACCTTCCTGCTTCAGCCTCCTGATTGCTGGGGTCACAAGCAGGGGAGGATCATACGAACACCTCTGTATGTAAAACTGATGGAACTGGGTTCTGGGGAAAGCACAGTGGTATAAGCACCTGCCCCGCAAAGGCGGGGTCCTGAGTTCAATTCCCGACACCAAAAGAGAAAAAAGATGGCTCTTTGGAGATCACCTCCACCAGCTCTGACCTGGGGGAAACTGAGGCCCAGAGCTTAGAGAGTGGATCGTGGTTATGTTAGGCACTCGCCAGGTGAGGACGCCCAGAGCCTGGGCCCCCTCCATGCCCTGCCACCCCCGCCCCCCCTGCCATCAGCCCCAAGCCACCTGGAGCTCCGTCTGTCTTTCCAGACCTCCACTCCCGACAGCTCCGGAAGTCTGCGGCAGACGATGCAGGACTGACAGATGTCTGCAGGGGCTGCCGGACTGCTCCATGTGATGTGACACAAACCACTCCTTCCTCCGTAATCGCCCTTCCGGCCCAGGAGCCCTGTGCCGCCATCCCTCCGTCCTTGAGCGCAGAGTGATGCGAAGTCCCCAGCGGTCTGGCCTGGCTGACGTAATGGTAGAGGTTCAGGCTTCGCCTCTCCTGGGCTGGGTGCACTTTACAGGGTTCTGCTTGTGGTGGAGAGGTTCATTCTCAGCAGATGGGGCCACTCTCGCCCTCTCGGGGCCCCTGGCTTGTCTTCCATGCCCAGGGCCGCACTGTGGGCTGAGGCTGGTTGGTAGGGCCGGCCCTGTCCACACTGCAAGGTGCCTGGCGTCCCGGCCCTATCCTGTGGCCAGCTTTGTGGCCCAAGTCACAGGTGTCACAGGACAGCCCCCCACCCATTCCTCTTTCCAGGCTGCAGCTCAGACCCATAGCAGAGCTGGACGTGGTGGCACACACCTGTCACCCCAGCAATGGGAGGCTGAGGCAGGAGGATCATTGGAGTCTAGAGTCAGCCTGGGCTCCATAGTGAGTTCAAGGCCAGCCTGCACTGCATACTGAGACCCAGCCTCTGAAAAAAAAAAAAAACAGAAATACATAAAAACAAAAGAGGATTAAGAGACTCAGCAAACACTCGGTTCTCATAGTTTCAGGGTGTTTCCCCTGAGGTAGAATTCATTTAGGATTCACTGCCAGCTTTTAGCGAGCACAGTCCTGTGACATCCCCTGTGGTCACTGTGTGAGCCAGTGTCACTCCCTGCTGTGAACACCATCGAGCTGGACCTTATGGCCCCCGCATGAGTGTGTCTGGGTCCCTACCACACGTCCCAGGGATCTGCCGACCCAGGAGCCATTGGGCAGGAGACTTTGGGGCCTAGGTTCTGTCTCCCGGCAGTTTCTAGGGTCAGCCACCCCGTGGCAGAGATCAGTCCTTCATCCCATCCTACGAGCACATGACACCCCACGGCACCCTCCGACATGCTCGTCTCTCTGCTCATCAGATCTGAGCTGTTTCTACCTCCTGTCTGCCAGGAATCAAGGCCGTATGCATTCTTTTTGTTGTTGTTGTTGTTTTGTTTGTTTGTCTTTTTGAGACAGGGTCTATGCAGTTCAGGCTGGCCTGGGGGTCACTTTGTAGACCAGACTGATCTTGAACTTGTAATGATCCTCCTGCCTCAGCCTCCCGAGTGCTGAGATCACAGGTGAGCACTATCCTACCTGGCTCCCATTCACATTCTCTCCTTTCTTTCTTTCTTTTTTTTTTTTTTTTTGTCTAATTTGAGACAGGGACCTGCTATGCTGTTCAAGCTGGCCTTGGGCTCACTTGTAGTTCATATTGGCCTTAAACTCATGAAGATCTTCCTGCCTCAGCTCCTGAGTGCCGGGATGACTGGTGTGCACCACTGCGCTTAGCTCTGGTACAAGTTTTGGGATAGACGTGTTTTCATTTTCCTTGGGGATAGACTGAGAAATGGATCTCAGGGTGATGAACAAGTCTGAGGAACCACCAGGCTTTGACCCCAGTTCACAGGCCTGCCGGCAAGGTGTACACTGCTCCTCCTCCTCCTCCTTCTTGCCCTCCTCCCTCCTGTGGCATCGCAGCCTCTCGGCATATGCTCCATAGCAGTCACCATGGCCTCAGTTTGTGGCTTCTGTTGACCGGCAGTGGTGAACACATCACAGTGCAGGGCCTGTCATCCTTGGAGAGACGTCTCAAGGTTCTCACCCCCATCTTGACCGGATTCTCTCTTTATCACCGCCTGGTGAGAGCTCTTTATTCTGGCTCCTGTTTTCCCCAGAACCTAGTGGGAAGCTTTTCCTCCCATCTGTCCTCCATGCTCGATGTACAGAGCTGCCAAGCCATAGGCCCAGAAGCCATGAGCCAGCCATGGACGGACACCTCTGACACAGGAGCCAGACCCAGCCTCCTTCCCAGTCCTGCAGGGGAAGGTGACTGGGGCAGAACTCCGCTGCTGTGGCCGGTGCTGATGGGATGCTGAGCTGGAGGGAAGGAGGACCTGGGCGCCACCTTGGCACCTGCACTGTATCCTGGACCAGCAACCCCCAGACAGGGCAGGGAGGCAATGGCCTAGGAGACAGCTCACAGGTGCCTGTTCTGTGGCCACTGAGGAGGGGATGACTGGCCCTGGCTTGCCGGTCCTGCCAGAGTCCCAGGGCCCCTGACCCTGGAAGGACAGCATGGCCCGAGCCAGCCCCACACCCTGCCCCAAGTGGCAGCGAAGGATGAGGTCATGGAACCCGGCTTAGTGTGCATTTCTTTTCTTCTCCACAATGGAAACTCTTGTCTCAGAGAGGAGAGGGGGGCAGACGGGGGAGGCCCCGGAATTTGACACAGGAGCTGCGGGGGATATGCAGGGGAGATGAGAAACAAGCTCTCACATCCTTGCTGTGGGGGGAGGGTGCGATGGCCCCCCAGCCTGGCCACAGCCTCTCCAGCATGAGTGATTCCTTCCACCCTGCAGCTGCCTGCAGGGAAGGGCAGGGGAGGATTGAATCCCTGCCTGCTCCGGCTCCTGTAGCCCCTCAGGGCCTTGAGCCTTCGCTCCCCTGGGGGGCAGGAAAGAGCCACCCCCATCTGCAGCTGTGGCTTCTGGGGTCTCAGTTGCCCACAGTTAGCTCTGATCTAAAAATAGGAAGTGGAACTTCCCAGAGATCCAGGATCCCTGCGTTCTAAACCACTTTCCCCAGCAGTGGTTGCAGTGATTGTGCCCCATCCTTTCACTTGGTCACCGGGCCTTTCTGAGATGCTGTGGCCCCAGGATCTCAGACACAGGTGTGTGTGCTGCTCTGGCGAAGTTCTGGTCCGGGGTGGAGGGTTGCTGACTGTGCAGTGGCCGGACAAAGAAGAGGGGCCTCTGGGTCACCCCAGGGACTCCTCTTCCCGAGGCTACTCCTCCCGCCAGCTCCCAGCTCCGAGCTGGTCCAGTGCTTAACACGATTGCAGGAGAAAGCTCAGACGTCTTGAAACGCCGCCCCCAGGTAAGGGTGACCCCATGTTCCCGCTGCTCCTCCACCCAGTGCTAGACAGCACTGGGCCCGGGAGCGGCTGCTGGTCCCTGCAGGCCTCACCGCTTCCACTGCAGCTCCCTGCCTGGACCCGGGGCCTCCTGCAGGTGCAGGTGCAGGTGCAGGTGCAGATGCAGGAGCCCCCCCAGCTCTGGGGGGTGATCCTACACGCAAGGCACACACACGTGTGCACACATCACAGCAGCTCTGGGGCCTAAGGGGGAGCAGTCCAGGGAACAGTTGTGTGACTCCTGGAGGGGGGGCAGGGGTCCCCCTGAGGTTTGGAGGTACTGCCTGCAGCCCAACTCAACCCCACCATGGGACTGAAGTATAGGCTCTGCTCCCCACATGGTGCTGTCCCTCTTTCCTCGAGTTCTCGTTGATTCTCCTGCCTGTTTTCTATTGTGCTGGGATGAATCCAGGCGGCGAGAGAAGACGTCACTGGGGCAGAGAAGCCGGAGGCTGGGGCAGCCTGGCTGGGGGTGGCAGTGACCTGGGAAGAGGAGCAACGAATGTGGCTGCCCCACATCTGGCAAAACCCCTGCCCTCCTGGGCCTTTGTTCCTGGTCTGTGAAGTGGGTGTCATGGTGCTCCCCACCCCCCCGGCAGCGGAGAGGTCTGATGGTGCCTCGGAAAGGGAGAACGGGCCCCAGAAGTGAGCAGTCAGTGCTGTGAGGTGTGAGCCCTGGAAACCCCAGATGCTTTCAACCTTTGTGGCATCAGCACCGTGGGTGCCTCGGGCTCCTCTGTGAGCATCCCTTTATCCTCCTGCCATGCCCGGCCCCCCTGGGCAAGAGTGCTAACCAGGCCCTCAGAGCACTGGCAGCCCAGCCCTGTCCCCGTAGGGCAGGTGGCTGCCGCTTCATCCCTCCCTGTGCAGCCCAAGACACAGGCCATTGGGACCCTGTCCTGTGTGGCCCAGCGGGGCCAGGTGGGCTGGTGCCACAACCCTTCCTCCCTGTCCTCGATGTCCCTTCCTTCCTGTCCGGGTGGGGGCAGAACCCATCAGGCTGCCTGGCCGGCTCCCCGGCCTGGCAGCTGCTCCCCTGGAACGGAGCAGTGACAGGGTGGACTTGGTCACCCTGGTCATGCTTGTGGTCCTGACCAGCGCAGAAGACTTCCCAACAGCGACTCAGCCCAGCCCGCTCTGGGTCTGGAAGCCTCCTCGGAAGAAACGCAGACTGGGAATTAAAATGGAAAAAGCCGTTCCTGTGATCATTTAGCGCCTGGCCAGGACACGGAGCCACTATCCCAGGGAGCTCCTGAGCCTACGCATCGCCCAGGACCCGGCTGCTGTCCCACGCGGGGGCAGAAACGGACCTATTGGCCCAGAGCCCGGGGTCTGGCGGCAGCAGGCAGAAGCAGTCCGGATCCAAACCCTGCCTGGTGTGTTCGCTCCGCCCCTTCCGTTGGTGACGCCCACCACCAGCCCTGCAGTCCCCTCAGGCTGCATGGGGGACGTTTGGCTCCCTTTGCTCTGCCTTTTGGCCCAAGAGGCCTCAGCTCCTCCCCACGTTGTAGGGGGCAGAGGGCCCAGGCTGCCAGAACTCTTGGCTTCCGACTCTGAGGCAGCCCCAAGAAGAGAATTTGGGGAACATGCGGGGCGTCTCCTTCAAGGCCCGACCGAAGCTGGCAGCATCTCTCTCTGTGCTTGAGATGCTTCCACACCGTGGCCAAGATGTGGCCACATAAGCCTGTCCTGCTTCCTTCCAATGCTCTGTGCCTCCCATCCGGCAGCAGGGAGGCTGGAAACGCACAGAAGTGAGGAACGGCAGTCGCCAGACCTTTGGACAGACAGGGGCTCTCTTCTCTAAAAAAGAGGGAAAAGCCTTTGGCAAAAAACTTAAATTCTTCCAGCCAGGCATGGTGGCACACACTTGTCATCCCAGCACTCAGGAGGCTGAGGCAGGAGGATCGTTGTGAGTTCAAGGCCAGCCTGGTCTACAAAGTGAGCTCTAAGCCAGCCTGAACTGCATGGTGAGACCCTGTCTCAAAAAGACACAGAAAGGGAAACACTGGCTGTGGCGGGGTCACAGCTCAGGGAGCCTGGCCTGGGGATTGCAGGGCCTTGATGGGGATGTGGAGGAGGACCTCGGAGGGGGGGGGGCACAGCCAGCCTGACTGCCAGGGTTCCAGGTCAGGATTAGGCTTTGGGACCCACAGGGGGTGCAGCTGCTGTGTGACATAGTGAGATCTGGGCCTGTCTGCTCCCCCAGGAACACTGGCGAGGCCCTTGGTGAGGCCCGGGGTGAGGTGGGACTGCCGGCGCAGGGGGAGCCGCAACAAGGTTCCGGAAGCAAAGAGCCCCATGTGAGACCTGGGCAGTTGAGGTCAGAGCGGAGCCCTTTTGGTCTCCCTGCTCCCCACGTCGCCCTCCCCGCTCCCCGGTCGCCTGAGTCCATGCCTGAGGGAGCTCTGTCCTCTCGTGTCTGTGCCCGAACTCAGCCAAGACCAGGCCACCTCGAGGTCCAGCCTCAAGGCACAGGAAGGCCTGGCGCACAGTAAATGACCACTTCACGCTGCCTTCCCCTCCGCCTCCTGGCAGCGAAGATGTTGCTTAACCGAGAGGTCTGGAAGCCTGGGAAGACCCTGGTGGGGCTGGGGTGCCAGTCCTGGGTTCTGGATTGGACTCGTCACCAGTTCCTGGCGATGCCCCAGATGACACCAGCCATGTGGAACCGAGCCCAGCATGGAGACGGATTCCAGAGAATCTGGGGATCCTTCCTGGTCCTTCCCAAGAAGGAGCGAGCAGAACCAGGAGCCCGGGGAGAGGCAGGAAGGGAGAGGATGTGGGCTGGCAGCAGGAGGAGCCCTGCAAAGTGGGCATGGAACTGCTGCTGGCCTGGCCTGAGCCCAGTGGACAGTGCCTGGGCCCTGTCAGGGAGGGGGTGGCTGTGCCTGGGGGCTGCAGCAGGGCCCCTGTATCCCCTCCTGGCCCTGACTGAAGAGAGGGCGTCTGCAGCAGCCCCCCAGCCACTTGTGGGAGACTCCTGGTCTCTGTCAGTGCAGGAGTCGTGTAACCAGGCTTTGTCATCACAGTTCTGAATTTCATATTCTCAGCCCAGTGTGATCCTAGTGCTCGGGAGGCTGAGGCAGGAGGGTTGCCATGAGTTCAAGGGCAGCCTGGGCCACACAGTGGGACCCTGCCTCAAACAACAACAAACAAATAAACTGGAATGGACAAAGAGGATGTTTTGTGGTCAGGGCCTGACAGTGACCAGGGTCTGATGGAATGGGGGCACTTAGGGAGCCTTGAGTCAGGGAGAGGCACTGGAGGCTCCAATTCTGGTGATGATGACGGGAACACAGGCTGTGGCAGGGACAGGGTGTGTGTGGGGGGGTCTCACTATGGCTGCTGACACCACTTCTGGTCAGTGCCCACGCCTGTCCGGATGCTTCGATGCGGAACCCTGGCCAGGTCTCCTCCCTACAGGTGGAGACTTGGAGAGGAGTGTTGGCACTTTATCTTCAGTTTTTTTTTTTTTTTTTTTTTTGGTATCAGAAATCGAACTCAGAAATTGGGCTCACCAGGCCGGCGCTTATGCTGCTGAGCTACAGCCCTGGCCACTGTCAGAGTTCCACTAACCCCCAGTCCCTCCAGACTGGATTGCAGCACCAGGGAAGAGCTGGGCCTGTGATCAGCGGCAGAGAGCCTGGATTTGATCCTTGGCTTGTGAGATTCTTCTTTTTTTCTTTTTTTCCGTACCAGGGATCGAACTCATAGCCTCGTGCTTGCCAGGCAGCGCTTATGCGACTGAGCTAAGTCCTCAGCTCCAAGAGTCCTTTTCTAATGAAAGCACTCATCTTCTAGTCACTGACCTTTGACTCTCTGGTGACTCATCGGCTGGGGAAATTAGGAGACGAACCCCTCCAGTGGGAAGGAAGACTGTCTGCACAGGGGAAAAGGGTTTTATTTCTTTATTTTGTTTTGTTTTATTCTTTTTCAATGACTACATTCGTGCCCAGCTTTGGAAGACCCTGAATGTGATTCTGGGTGTAGAGGTCTTGCCTGTTTCTCATTGCTTCTGGCCATTAGGTGACCACAGGTGATCTTCAGACGGTCACGCATGGGAGTTTTAGCACTGAGCACGAGAAGAAAGGGACCCAGGAGCTCTGCTTTCTTTTCTTACTGATTTTATTTCTCAGTTCTTTCCTTACAAAGTGTGCTAACCTGGCCCAGTTAAATGTCACCTCAGAAGCTGCTCTGGGAAGGAGCTGGGATGGCCAGCTTGCCTGGAGTGGGGATGGGGTCCTTTCCACGCACAAAGAATTAAACCTACTTCAAAGACCCCAGCTCCGGCTGACCTCCAGCTTCGACTGCCAGCTGGGATTGGAGACCCCATTCGGAGCACAGGCTGGGCAGCATGTCCCTTGCTGGGACTGCAGTTCCTCAAGTGGTTGGGTTGAGTCATCCATTCTCCGGTGACCTCCCGAGGGGCTGCAGCAGTGCATGTGCCGTTGACTGGACAGTCAAGACCCCCAAGACATGCTGGGAGCTGAGGTTACCCTCCAGGGGGCTGCATCTTTGTGCTGGGTGTGGCCAGGGTCCTTGAGGAGCACGGGACATGAAAGGATCCACCCCAGGGTCTGTTCTGGGCCCCCAGCTGGCCCCTCCTGTGGCCCCTGTGCACTGTCCAGCCCTGAGCTCCTCGGTGTGGACACCGACAGGGCTTCCGCTCGGAGTCTGCAGATTGGAGTGGGAGCTGCGGCTCCAGGCCTTCACTCACCTGTCCCAGCTGCGCCCCACAGTGAGCTGGGCCATCGGGGCGGCCACCCAGGCACAAGGCAGAGCCATTGGCATAGGGACCAGGACCTGCCCAGCCTGCCTGGGGCAGAGACTTGAGGCTTGGGGCCTTTGTGTATGTCCTCTCTATTGGTCAGGGTTTTACTAGAGAGAACAGATATAACCCGGAATATACAGAAACAACAAGATTGGCTTATGATAGTCAGTCACAGAGTCTGATGAGGAAGCGTGCAGAGGGTGTCTATGCACTGGAGGCTGAAGGATTCAATCCAAGATCTGGAGTTCACCCTAGTGTCTTGTGCAAGTCCACACCAGCAGGCTGATAGGTCCTCGACAGAAGGCCGAAGGCTCTGTGATGAAAGGCTGCAGAGTCTACACTGGGAAGCTGAAGAGTCTGTACTGGAAGCCAGCAGGAGAGGTCCAAACCAAAGGCGAGGACTGGAGCTTCTCCCAAGAATGGCATGGATTTGTCCTTCCTCCTCCCCTTTTATACCTCGAGGTGATAACTCACCCTAGGGTGGGTCTTCTACATCCTTGGGTGTAGAATTGCTAAACCCATTTAGTTAGCTTCTAACTGTCTCAAGTTGACACAATCAGTCAACCACTAGATCCTCCCATTTCCTTTGTGAGTCATGAGGGGCCCAGGCCCCTTGCCCCGAAGGCCAGGTGGCCAGCCTGGAGGGGCTAGGACAGGAAGGCGACAGGAGGAGGCAACCGGGAGACCCAAGAGGCAGCTTCCCCATCTGTGCAGCTTGGTGGGGGCTGCGTGGTTCCCTGGAAAGCGAGGGCCAAGGCCAGGCCTGGGGCTGTCAGATGGGGAAACTCTGGGTGGGACCTGGGGCTGCTGGGGAGGCTGGGACCAGAGTTGGTCCGAGGTTGGGGTGCATGGGGTGATGTCCTCTGTGCTCACTCGGAGATGGGGTGGTTGGGGAGTCCCTGTCATCAGCGTCCTGGCCCTGAGGGGAGACGGGCTGGCCCCCCTTTACCCGCTTCCACTTCATCCTCCGGTTCTGGAACCACACTTTGACCTGTGGAGAGAGCCAGGGGCCTGGTCACTTGGGCCAGGGTGACCAGTCCTATGGGGGTGCCCGAGGGAGCCAGGTTGCACCAGGACACTGGCAGGAACTAGCACGTACCCCACCCACCCCAGGGTCCTGCACCACCAGGGGGACGGCTCCCTCTCTCCTGTGAACCTGGGTGCCTTGCACAGGTGGGGCAGGTCCCCATTTACAGCAGGATCCAGGGGTCTGGGTCTGGGTGGGGGCAGGTGGGATTAGGCGCTGGGTCTCCAGGTTCAATATCCATTGCCCGGGATGGCACCGCCCACGGGAAGTTGCCACCACTTTGCCACTATCACTCTGGTCCTGTCCTCACCCAGACCAGAGCCCACACAGGCCCAGGGTGCTGTCTGAGGCACCCCGAGTCTGTGGCACCTGAGCCTCCTGCAGAGCCCACCCAAGGTGCGGTTCTGAGTCTACGCCCCGAACCCTGAACCCGAGGACCCTGGAACCTGCACTGTGGACCGCACCTGGCGATTCCAGCGCCTGCAGCGCTGGCCCAGCCGGGGAGCTTCAGAGATGTGGGTGCCGGACTCCCTATCGTGTCCCTGTCGTCTCCCTGCCCTCTCCCAGAGAATCTGGGGCTCCCTGATGCGGGGGGCACCTGGCGCTCGGAGAGGTCCAGGTTCATGGCAATCTCGTATCTTCGCAGGCGCGTCAGGTAGTTGTGGTGTGCGAACTCGGCCTCCAGCTCACGCAGCTGCTCCCTGGTGAAGGCTGTCCTCTCCTTGCGGGCCTTGGCCTCCAACTTTTTGCCGGGCTCCTGCAGGTCTGGGAGAGGGGCCGCCCGCGGGCAGGTGGGCGCATCTTCCCCTCCTCCCACCCCCTGCAGGGGTAGGCCGGGGCCTTGGCACTGAGCCTCAACCCAGCTCTTTAAAAAACGTACTTCCCATCTGGAGCCAGGGGCTCCCTAGATTCCTAAGTCCCCCAGCTGGCTCTAAGTCACCCTAGAGCTCCAAAGAAAAAAGCTGCTGCCCCCCACACCCTGGTTGGGAAGATCTTTGACCCCGAAGGAGTTGCTCTTGGCCCATCCTGAGCTCCCTGGAACCCCACAGCCCAGCCCCCATGCAAGCCCCATGTGTGTGGCCTGCAGACCAGACCCACAGCCCCTGTGAACACACATGTCAGAGGCAGGCAGCCCCACGAGTCTTTTCCGTGCTTGCCCAGGTGCTCACCCCTTGGCTCTGGCTTTGCAGTGCTCTGGGGGGCCGGCAGCCTTGTAGGGGCAGCTGGTCATAGGGCTGGGTCCTGGCTGCCCTGCAGGGCCAGGTTGGGAGAGGCGAGGACCCGGGCTGGGGCTCTCAAGGACATAGGGGAGCTTAGTCCTGGCTACTAAGTGCAGGGTGCGTATCTGTGCCAGCCCCCAACCCCCCACATGGCCCCCCATCTTTACACTGCCTACCATGCTTTGAGGGGCAGCTGCATTTTATAGAGCAGAGCACGGCGCTCAGGGACATAGCAGCCGGGGTTCACCCAGGTGGAGGACAGGGGCCCAATGTTCTATAAAGTGGCAGGGATGGGGAGGTGCCAGGGAGGAGCCCAGCCCAGACACCGTGGCCCCCGGTGCCACCATCTGCTGGCGACTGGGTCTGGCCTGGTCCCCAATGGACTCCTCATCCTCCCCACACTGGACCAGAGCTGCAGGTCCCCTGACAACCCTCTTCAGCCACTCTGCTCAGGTGCCCTGGCTGTGGCAACCCTCCAGTGGGCAGAGGCAGAGGCTACGGAGACGTCGGTCCAAGGAAAGGGGTCTGGAGTTGTCTTACCACAGCCTACTCCAGGGCCCTGGCCTCCAGCCTGTTTCTGTCACAGCCTGGCAGGGGGCTTACACGGCGTTATGCACCTCAAATCTCTTGGGGGCCACTTTGAGGAAGTCATTTAGCCACTGTGGGCTCCAGGCTCCAGGTGACGTGTGTGGAGATGCTCTTAAAGCCTAAAGGTTAGCCAGGCTGTCACCCCAGGAGGCTGAGGCAGGAGGATCATGGTAAGTTCAAGGCCAGAGAAACTGGGTCTCAAAACAAAACGAATAAAACAAGCAAATGAGCAGAAACTCTGAAGGTGCTTCTGGCTCCAGAGACACTGTGGAACAAGCCAACTCACGGGAGAGGCGACTGGGTCTGGCCTGGTCCCCAATGGACTCCGGTCCATTGGCCTGGGGATGTCTTAGGCCTGGGGAGATGGAACGTGGTCCCTGCTCATGAGGATGGACAAGGACCCCCTGGCTACCCCTGCTCAGTGTCCACCCTGCCTTGGCCAGAGCTCCGGGGCAGGCATAGGAATGAAAGACTTCCAGGTAACCAGGGAGAGGGGAAGTGGCCTCCCTTCTGGCTGCCCTGGTCAGTGGGGTAAACCCCCAGGATCCCACTGACCAGCACTGTTAGGATGAGGGACGTGTGCATGAGGGGCCAGCTGCAGAGCCACATGCTGAGTCTGCACAGTCAGGAGAAACCTGAGAGTCAAACTGAGAAAATAAGTCTACTTACAACAGCACACAAAGAATAAAATACTTAGGAGTGAATTCAGCCGGGTGCGGGACACCTCCCAGCCCTCGGGAGGCTGAGACAGGAGAATCCCTTCAACTGGACTCCACAGCAAGACTCTGACTCAAAACACCAAAACTGAAAACCTTCTGCCCAGCAAAGGAAGCGGTCAACAGGGTAAAAAGGTGGGATGGAAGAAATGTTTGCAAACTGACACCTGACGGGGTGAATGTTCAGAAGGTATAAAGGACTGCCACTGGACGACGACCAGAACCCTCAAAGGACCAACTGAAAGTGGGCAAAGAGCTTCAGTTTCTCCAAAAGAGACACAAAGTCCACAAGCAGATGAGAGGGCCTCGGCAGAAGCCGGCAGAGGATGCAGAGCAGCGACTGCCTGCTTGAGGGGGGTACGAGTGGTGGAAGCCGGGACCCTGGGGTGTAAAACGGGCAGCAACTGGGGCTCCCCAAGGCCAGGGTCACCATGTGACCCAGCGAGTCCACTTCCCGTCCACACCCGAGATATTGGAAACCTGGACTCTGCTGCCCACCATCCCTACGTTGCCCTTGTGTGGGGTGGATAAAGGGAACATGGTACTCAGTGACCGGTGGTTACTGAGCTTATGGGAGGAAATTCTCCGTGCCTGACGCCCTCGGTGAAATGAGAGGACATCGTGCTAAGTGCAATCAACAAGCCGTGCATAGTGGCACAGGCTTGTTATCCCAGCACTCGGGAGGCCGAGGCAGGAAGATCGATGTGAGTTCAAGACAAAGTGAGCTCAGGGCCAGGCTGAACCACATAGTGAGACCCTGTCTCAAGTGACAATAAGTAAGTAAATAAATAAGTGGGTCACAAAAGGCTGGATTCTGCAGGATCCCTCAGAGGCATCTCACTACCTGAACCCTCAGGGGGTGGCATGGTGGAGACGGGCTGGAGAAGGGCAGAGGTCCACTCAGTGGATGTAGGGTTTGAACTTGTATGATGGGACAGCCCTGGAATCACCACAGGACAGTGTGCCTGCAGGTGGCAGCTTCATGGGTCCCCCAAAAGCGTTCAGATGGTGAACATTGTGTGGAGCAGTTTGGGGGCAGACACACAGTGACAGACACCGATCTCCAACATCAGATCTCGGGGTGGGCGTCTTGGACCCCGACTTCCTTTGCAAGCTGCAGCTGTGGCCAGGAAATCCGAGGTCCCAGGAGATCTCTGATGCCGAGGCTGCTGCAGAGCCGCGTCAACGGAGAGGCGGCCAATAAGAGCCACCGTGAGCACAGTGGAGACGTTTTAGACAGCGGAGAAGATGCGGTCAGAACTGCAGAACCCTGGAAATGCTGGGGCAATGTGTGTGCACCATGTGCGTGTGTGTGTGTACACGAGTGTGTGCGTGTGACCCAGCGTGATCCCATGTGCTTGGTGGCAGGGTGAGGGCAGCAGGAGGTCAGGTGCAGGCAGGACCAATCGGATCTGCACCATGGACCTGGCGTAGGGTTCAGCATGGGGTGGGGCAGAGGCAGTGGGCACAGCTTGGGCAGGGGACGTGGGGCACCAGGAGCCCGGGCAGTGCATCCCGGCTGGAGCAGGGTGGGAAAGACAGAACAGAGAGTGGGCAGAGGATGGGAGCCGCTAGTGACCGGTAACCTCCCCTTGAACCCTGCCAGGAATTCAACACGAAATCCCTCCTTGCCATAAATTAAAGACCAGCTGGGTAACAGTGACGGTTTGGAGGAAATAGCAGTGGCCTCACAGCTGTCCTGCCGGCAGGGGTCTTCAAAGCCCGCTGGCCCTGCCTTTGGAGGGTGGGATGAGGGAGCAGGATGGGGAGCGGAGGCCCCTGAGGGAGTGGGGGTGAGGGAGGCGGGAGGGCAAGGAGCCTCCTCTGCCCACCCCCGCAGTGCAGGTCCTCCCAGGCTGAGCCGGCCCAGCACTCGCCGATCTTTACGGCACATGGAGCCAGACTTCCCACGTATTGCGGCCTGGACTCAGCAATTCAGGGTCCCCGATGAGCACTTGCCCCAGGCCCATCCTGAGGGCTCCCCTGGCTCACAGCACCATGCCGTGGCCTGGCCTCCCATGGAGATGAGACGGGCACCAGAATTCTGTGCTGCGCCCCTACTGTGCTGTGGGGGAGCCGAAAAGGCGTCCCCACGGAAATAGTCCACGTGAGAGGTGCAGCTCAGGAAAGAAGCTGTGCTTGGTGCCAGCATGGCGACCCCAAAGAACCCAAGATGAACAAAACGGGACTTGGAATGAGGGTGGCCAGGGGGCTGGGGCTAGGGGCTGGACAGGGCCAGCACCACAGCCACAGCTGGCAGTGGAGGCGGCAGGGCCAGGTAGGGTGGCACACCTGGGATGGGGTCTGCCTGTGGCCAGCAGGCCAGCAGGCTTTGCCAGTGCCCTGACCTCGTAGCCCTGGAAAGGGCTGGAATGGCCCTGAGAGGGGTGAAGATGCCGGGCTCCACAGCGAGGCAGGGACGTGAAGGTGTGGTCTGGGGTGTGGCTGGGCTTTACCCTCAGGGGACATCATAGCTTTCTGTGGAGGGCAGATGGGAGTTGGGGAAGGTGTCACCCACTGTCATGCAGGAGGAGGACACCAGGCACAGGCTGATGTCCACTCAGGATGACAGCTGAGGTGGGGTGCAAGGTGTGAGGGCCGGCGTGAGGTCCAGGCTTGTGCCACCCCAGGGTGACGGAGCTTTGGTTTGCCTGGGTCCAAGGAACCCAGGATGTGGACGCCCTGTACTCAGGTGGGCAGAGCTGGGAGGAGAGGCCGAGTGTCCACCTCAGTGCAGGCCCACTCCTGCTGGGCCCAGCCCCATCCCTATCTCCCATGCACTAGCTGAGATGCTAATTCCCCCAGCACCCCCACCTTGCAAACTAGGGGGACCCCAGAGAGTGGACACCCGTTGAGCACCCCCACTGCCAACAGCCCTCAGTGGACTCTTCTTTGTGGCTTCCACACCTGGCCGCTCCCTGTGTCCACCCTAGTGTCTCCAAGAGAACTGAAGGTCTGAGGGGTAGCTGGTGCCTCCCCTGGGGCCACACAAGAGGGGTAGGGGGCTGGAGGCCAGGAAAGGTGGGGACGGGGACCACATAGAGGTGGGCACGGTAGGAGGCAGGGGACAGTGCAGGAGGGGCCAGACTGCTGAGCAACCCACAAACAGTGCCCTCCTTGTGCTCCATCCCAAGCTGGGCCTGGCCAGACCCTGGACGCCTCCCTAGGGTCTCTGTCCCCTGGGCTTGACACAGCCCAGCTCTCTGGTCTGGCTCTTGTGGGCAGCTGCCCCCCTTAGACTGCTGCAGGCCACCAAGTCGCAGTCTCTGGGCCCCACGCCCAGGGCTCCCCCAGATACTAAGTGGACCCTGGGGCCCTGGGACCCCTCCAGCCCAACTGTGCCTGCAATCCTGCCCTGGGGTCCCTTGCCTGCTGCTCTTGCCCAGCACCCTTTGGGAATGCAGATGGCATCGTCACTGTCCAGACTCTGAGAGCCCTGAGCTCTCAGAGGTCTCCACGTCCCTTGTGATGACACTGTGCGGCACAAGTGTTCAGGACTAAGGAAGCAGCTGCCCAGCCAACGGTAAGACCCCAGTAGACCCCTCGACACGTACCTGCTGCCGCTTTCCTCCGTCGGGACAGCGTCCTCTCCACCTCGCCAGCGGTGCTCCCCAGCATCCCAAAGTCCTCCCCTGGGCCTTCCACAGGCTCCATCTCTCCAGGGTCCCCAGCCTGGCTGGGATGCGGCCTCTGCCAGGATTCGGGGACAGGGGGGTGCCAGTCTGGCAGCCTCGGGAACGCGGGGTGCTGCTCCGTGAAGACGCACTGCTCTCGGGGCAGGCTGTGCGGGGTGACAGCCAGGCAGGAGGCCGAGAAGTCGGGGTATGCGGCTGAGGCTGGGAAGTCTGGCTTCTGGTGGAAGGAGAACGGGGCCGGCGGGCAATGGGGTGACCCTGAGGCGACGCTGCCCTCGGCGTGGAGGTTCCGCAGGCAGCCCCAGAGCGGGGCCGGGCCCAGGGGGCTCCTTAAGCAGCGGCTGCCCTCGGGGTCCATGGGCTCCGCCACCCACCAGGAGTTCAACTTCTTGAGCTCAGAGGTTAAAGATCGAAAAAGCAAAAAAGAGGAGCTGGAAGAAAAGGTGCTCCGCACCAGGAGCCAAAAACAGAACCGAAGTGACCGTGTCCGCAAAGCCGCACACGCTAGCGTGCACAGGGGTTCCTGCGGCGCCCTCACACCTGGCCAATACGGCTGCCCCCGGGCACGTGTGTCGGGGACTGCGCCACACACGTGCAAGGCCCACCAGTTGCAGGGACCAGGAGCCACCTGGAGCCAGAGCCGGGCTGGGCTCTCGGAGGGATGGCCCAGGGAGGAGAGGCTTTTAAATTCTGCAATGGGGAGAGTGACAAATTTCTGTGGTGAAACATGAGAGAGGAGAAGGAGGGGCAAGGCCCCTCCAACCAGGCGTCAGGGTCTCCTCACCAGAAATCAAACCTGCGGTGATGGGATTTGCAGCTGGGGCTTTTAAAGAAACATGGTCTGTGTTTCTGTAAAGAGTGAGAAAACCCCCGCTGCAGGACACTCACGCATGCACACACAGGGGTGCACATACACCCTCTCATCAGTGTGACTCTTCCAGCACCATAAAGTTACTGTGATTGCACTGTTAACAAAATTCTCCAGGTCTTGCGTTTGGAAGAAGCCCTGAGGCCTTCAGGAGCCAAACTCCTGGGAGGGGCGGCTGTGAGTACCTGAGACGGCTGGGCTGGGCTGGCCTGGGGATTTTGAGTTCCTTCTGGGGCCACCATGGGAGGAAGGTAGATTAGGAGAAATCCTTTTTGCAGATCCCAGCGGCCCACTATGGTCTGGAGTCTGCGGAAAGATGTGCTCCAAAAGACTCCTTCCTCTTCACCCCAGGGACTGTCCCCGGTCAGGGCCTTTTATTTTATTTTGTTTCTAAGACAGGGTCTCACTGTAACTCAGCCTAGCCTTGAACTCACAACAACCCTCCTGCCTTGGCCTCCTGAGTGTTGGGGTGACAGGGGTGCTTTTAAACCTCCAGCTCATCCGCCAATCGCGCAAGATTGTCAAAGAGACCCCCAAGCTTTTCCAGGGCTCACCTCTTGGCATCCTGTCCTCAGCCCACCATCTCCCCTTGGCACCCGAGGTCCAGGCCCGGGGTGGGAACAGAAATGTGGGGCTCCTTGGTCTTTTGGGGTTCTCCCTGAAGGGGCCCCAATATTTCAGCCAGACAATCCTAAAGTGCTATAAAGGGGTGCTGTCTTACGAACTTGTCACAGTGTGACCCCTATCGGGGCACAGGTAGCCTGCGCAGTGGTCACACAAACCTGCCTGGATCTGGGCCTGTCGGGGTCATGGTGGGATGACCTGGAGGTCAGGAGGGCTTGGGGCACGGCTGGGTACCCTGTGCTTGGTGCTGCCCTGGCACCTTGGCGCCTGAGCAGCTGCCAACATCTGTCAGCCCCGGGCGTCACCTGGGGTCCGGCCTCTCCATCTCCCTGACAGCCCCCTCCTGAGCCAAGGAAAACAGCCGGGCCCCAGCGGCTCATCTGTCAGGGTACCCAGCACCTTCGTCTTCCACCACCCTGCAGCCTCAGGCCACAAAAGCACGGTGGCCTGGGCCGAGCAGCCATGGGGGGTGGGAATGGGGTTCCCAGGGCCAAATCTGCGCCACCCCTGAGATCTGCCATCCTGTCTGTCGTACACGGGGATCGCCTCGGTCCTGGGTATGGCCGGTGTGTGTGGGGGGGGTGCAGGGTCTAGGGGTGGCCGCCCCCAGGTCCGGCCTTGGTGGCCCAGAGTTGACAGTGCCTACCTGGTGTGGCTGCTCCAGGACAAACGTCCAGGCCAGAGTTGCCCATGGGTCGAGGCCGGGGTGAACATGTGACTTCCCTCCCTGGGCCCTGCTGGTCCAGCTGCCCCGAGGGGCGCCCCACTCCACCTGGCTCATTCTTCCATGGCCACATGGCAGGGGTGGAAGTCACAGTCCTGGGAGTGTGTCAGTCAGAGGCCAAGACCTGGTCCTGCCTGCGGTGGGCACACAGATCTGCGTAGCCATTCCCGTCTGCCTAGGCCTCAGTTTTCTCCCCTGTGAAATGGGAACAATTTCCCCTCAGCAGCTTCAGAAAGAAGTCAGGTGGCCCCAGGGGCTGTCATCCTGGTGCAGTGTGTAGCGGTGACACAGATGTCACCTGGATGGCCCCAGAGTGGCCCTGGGATGTCTTTCTGGGCCAGCAGAGAGGGCAGTGGAGCCAAGACATAAACTGCATGGCAAAACCCAGAGTCCAATGGGACCCCCTGTTGGTGAGACCCTGAGGGATCAGGCAGGGGACAGGTGGGTGGGGGACAGGTGGCTCTGGACCCCAGGAACGGCTAGAACAAGGGCAGGCACCTGCTCTTCCAAGGCCTCGAGGCCCAGAGTCACCCTGCCCAGGTCCCCAGCAGAGGACGCAGTTCCTGCCCCACACCAGAACCTCCCTAAGTCCCCAGGGACCCAGGCGCAAGCCACACGGATGGACTCTGCCCCCTGGGCCGTGGCAGCATTTAGGGAGCAGAGAGGGGAGGAAGGACAGTGTCCCCCACCCCTGCATCCAAGGGAAGCTCGGCAATCCTCAGCAGCTGACCCCCCTGACCAGCACTTTCCTCTTGACAGAGCAGAGCTGCAAGGGGTGCTGGGAGTTGGGGGCCCCCCCTGCAGCCCCCAGATATTTGCTGTTTACCTGAGACTCAAATGCAACATGCGTCACCTCTGTCTCTTTCCAAACTGGCTGTGCGGGGTGGCGGGGAGGTGGCAAGGTGACGGGGGTAGGGGTGGGGGTGGGAGCCTGGCTCTCCGGCAGCCGGGAAACCGCATTAAGCAAACCGGACATGGTATGGATTTATGGAGTGCGTGGGGCGCAGGGGATGTTCTGCTTTCCCCTCTGTTTACCTAGCAGCATTTTAAAAATCCAACTTGGTCATGTGGGGACCAGGCCTGAGTCGTGGCTTGGGCTCCAAGGGGCCTGGTGTGTCCTGCAGTTTGTGGGTCTGGCGTGGCAGCAGCCGGGGGTGGGGAGCCCTGTCCCTGGCACCGATGAGCAGGAAGCTTTAGTCCTGCAGGGGGCCAGAGGAGGACCAGGCCCACCATGTGAGCAGGGACTCGGGCTGGCCATGGGGCCGGATCTCGAGTGTTTCAACCACAGCCCCAGTTCTTCAGTTCTTCAATTCTGGCTGCAATCCGTCGGGATGTCCGTGTCGGCAGTGAATTGAAAACCCCTGATGGAGGCTGAGCGGCCGGGTGCAGTCTCTTCTGACTGCTGACCCCCTCGTCTGGGTCCCTGGCTCCAGATGAGGACGCCAAGGAGGCCCTGGTAGGTGGAGGGGTGCAGGACCTGACACAGGTTCTGGGCTCCACTCATCGAGGTTGGGAATCTGACCCGAGGCCACCCAAGTGCCTATTTGCTTTGTGTGCGTGAATGTGGGGTCCACATGTTTGTTCAGTGGCTGCTGCACGCTGCCAGTAACCCTGAGGGGCCGAGTGAACTCGGATCCTTTCTTATCTCCCTGGAGAGGTGGGGAGGGTCAGGGAGGTTGGGCAGCCTGGAAGGCCGGATCCAGGCCTTGCTGCCCATTGACCGATGGAACCGTCAGACAGTGTCTTCGGGGCCAGATCTGCGCTGGTACTGAGCCACTCACAGAGGGGCCAGCATGGCCCTGGGACCATAGGTCCACTGTCGGCCCTCTGAGCAGGCGTTTCCAGGAGCAGTGCTCAGGCCCAATCTGACCTCTGTCCCCTGGATCCGAGGGGCTCCAGCCAGGACCCTGTGCCCCTGCCGCCCTCATCCCCAGGCTGTTGGGGTGTAGTGGTCCTCACTGCTCTGTGTGGTCTTGGTCCACCTGGGCAATGGGGTGGGAAAGTGGGAGGAGCTTGCTCCCGGCCATGGCTGCAGCCAGCGGGGCTTTCTGGCTCCCCATCTCTTGGTGGCCCATGGGAGTGGAAGGTGGGGGCCTTGGACTGAACCCCAGCCTCAGGGCTGGTGCTCTGGCCTCCTGGGTTGGGGGAAACGGCTCCACGCAGGCCAGGATGGGCCAAGCAGCTGAAACCCCGGTGAGGGTCACTGCTCCTAGAACAGCAGAGCTCTTGAAGAGGTGACGGAGTGCGCACAGGTTTCCGGCCCTTCCCGTTATAAAGGAAGAAATAAATGGCCTCCCCGCAAGGCGGCGCGTCGACGGACGGGGGCGGGGAGCGTGGGCGGCGGGGGCAGGGTGCGGTCAGGAAGGTTGGTGAGCAGGTCGCGCACTGGGAGAGGCCGGGGAGTGGCCCCACCGTGCACACGCCGGTGTCCTCCCGCACGAGGCCCCACGCAAGGTCGGACGCTGAGCTCCCCTGAGGCGGGACTGCAGCGCCCTCTGGGGGTGGCCCTCGGAACTGCAGCTCGTGGACGGTCCTCGTGCCAGAGCGCGGTAAAGCGGCGCCCCCTTAAAACATGGCAAGGTGGGGTGCAGGGGTCCTTGGGACACTGGGGGACAGGAAGTGACAGCCCCTGGCTGCCGGCAGGGGACAGGGAGACTGGCAGAGCCATAGAAGGACGCTGAGCGCCCGCGGCTGGGGCTGGGTCTGCACCAGTCCCCTCACTGTCACTGCCACCCTCAGTCGCCCGTCACCTCGCTGTACCTTGGGAGCCTTTTCCATGGGCAGAGAGCCCGAAGCAGCTGCCCAGGAGGCCTGAGAGCCCCCGAGTCAGGAGGCCCGGCAGCCCCTGGGCCCAGCTAGCTGCACAGGGAGGAGCTGGGCACAGCAGAGCGTGAGGACGCAGACCCGGTTTCGGGGCTGCCTGGACACGGTCAGGGCGTCGGGAGAGGTCGGCAGGGATGTGTGGGGCAAGGGTGCCCAGGATGGGCCGGGGAGGCTGCTGGAGGGGCCGAGGCCTTGTGGGCAGCTTGGGTGTGGCCTCCCCAGCCAGGAGCCACGAGGAAGATGCCCACACCTCTGCCAGGTTCCTGCCAGGGTCACAGTCCTCTCTCTCTCTGTGCCCCCAAAGCCATATCCTGGGGCCCTGCAGGAGCCTCCAGCCCCAGGCAGGCACAGAATGAGGTCCCAGGCAAGCCCTGGAGCTGGTTGGGAGGACGCAGGGCAGGGACCCTGGCTTGTGTCCTTGGAGACCCCTCAGCAAGCAGCCTGGGTTGGTAGCTGGGGCCCATAGGGTGACCCGCCATGGTGGGGTGTCAGCACTGCCACCATCGCTTTCAGAGGAGATAGAGCTGAGCTCTGACCAGGGTCTCTGAAGCCAAGGCCACCGTGAATCTGCTTTTCTCAGTCGTCACTGTGTGGAGGACCCTGGCAGCAGAGAGAA